ATGATGTTGGGCCTATTCTATATTAATATCCTATATATATACTAAAAAGGGATTGGATTTAAAATATTTATAATAGGCCTCGTGACTAGCATAGTATCGCCGTTATGTGACCCTACCACCCGAATCGACCGCGCCGGCCCGCCAACCCCCCCCCCCCCCCCTGCCTCCCCTACCAATAGATATATATATACTACTATATATCCTATATAGAGAGAATTCCTATACTGCCTATCGAATTCTAAGGTTATAGGGGGCAATTATCGACCCGATTCTCAACACCAGCCAGCGTAGTATAGCAGGATAGAGTAGTGCTAGAGTGGTAATCCCCCCCTAGACTTATATCTTATATATTATCTTATTATCCTATTATCCTATTATCCTATTATCCTATTATCCTATTATCCTATTTCTATTTCTTCTACTATTACTATTACTATTACTACTACTACTACTACTACTACTACTACTACTATTATTATTATTATTATCTATTATTCCTCTTTACTATTACTATTATTTGTGTGTTATTTATGTGTTATAATAGATCTCTCTCTCTCTCTCTCTCTCTCTCTCTCTTCTCTTTGTTTCTTTCTTTTTATTATTAATATATATATATATATAATATTATATATTATAGGTAGGTAGGCGAACTTAATAGATAATAGATAATAGTAGATGGTAGTAGTAGGGTAGTGATGGTATAGGGGGGGGGGGGGTAGTAGATATATATAGCTATATATATAGAGCGAGACCGAGAGATATATATTTGGCTGGGGTGCAGTGTCGATACCTGGCGTTTTGCCGCTAGGGTGGCGAGATAGATTACCTGTGGTATCGCTGATCTAGGAGCGTCGGTATATCTTTCATAGATTACCCCTTTGCTAATATCTAATATCGGTATTAGGTCGGTCCGCGTAATTTACCCCATCAAAACTTCGTCTCCGATTTAGACTATCGATTTCGATCGCCTTCCCCTGTCTCGATTTCTCTGATATTGGAATAGATTACTCTCTTGAATTCCCCCTATAAGATATCAAAATTTCACCCCGCTGCGACCGCAGTAATATCGAAAGGTAGCCACCTCCGTCTTCACTGTGGCGGACGTGCCGACCCCGAATCCCCCCGGGGTCCACCCGGCCCCCACCCCCACACCCGGACCCCCGATCCCGCCAGTCGGAGGCCCCAGATCCCGGACGTGGAGCCACGTCCGCGCCGGGGAATCCCCTGTAGGTAAAATTTATAGGGCTCGGAGACTATCTACAACGTAAAGATCTAAGGTATTTATAGCGCGAGTACTTATATTATATACTTATTTTCTGCCGAACTTATATAAAACGTGCTTTTCACAAAAAGTTCCTAGATTATAAGGCTACTAGTGTTATCGACCTTATTTAGAACGTAAAGTCTAAATCAGAGGTTATCGAGCTAATAGATGAAACGGCAAAAAAGTGGCCTAAAACTAAATATTGGTTTAAAAGCAAGAAGGTCGACTAGGTCCTAGTAGGGATCACTCTAGAGCAATCCAAAATTCCAATTTTATAGTAGAATAATGCTCTATATTATATAGGGATTAGTAAGAGCAGTCACTACTATAACAATAAAGCTATTAGGCGTAAGTAAGCTTTGCTTACTGCTATTCTTTGGTATATTATTATTATATATATTATATATATTAATAATATACTAACTTTATATTTAATATAGGACAAAACGCTATATAGATAAGATAATATAGAAAAATCGAGTTACTTTAACTAAGGGCACGTATTATTTATAGCGTACTCGTGACGCTATTTCGCGTATCTCTAGAAATGATCGAAAACAGAGTAAGTATATACCTAATCTCTAGTTATCTTATACTAATAATATATAGAAAAGCGAGATCGAAAGGTAGTAGAACGGCGTATCCGAAAGCCTTATCTTATATAGAATCTAAGGAATCTATATAATCGACTTAAACCTCTAATATAGCCTTCCTTATTTTGAGATAAGGCTAATACTATTTTAGTTATAAGTTTAGATAATATAGAGTTAAGCTTAATATATACTACGAGTGTCGGAAGAATAACTTTAGTCTATACTAGATTAAGGTTAAGATCTACTACACCACGAAGGGCAGAGCCTTTTTAGGATTATCACTAAATCGAAGAGACTTAGTTAGAGAAAGAAATTATAGAGCTTAAGCGGATTTATAGGGTTTAGGAGTTAAGAAAAAGACGGGATACTTTACTTAAAATAATCTTAATAGATTAAGAAATAGATTATTAGGATAGGATTGTAGGAGTTAAATATATTTTTTATAGATATTTAAATTTTATATACTATATATATTAAGAACTATTTATATATAAATAAAAGGCCTTTTAAAATAGCTTTATCTATCTATAAAACGCTATAGAAAATAGTTCTAACTAGAAGATCTACTTATCTCTACTATTAGTCTCCTTATTATCTTTATTAGTCTCTTTATTAGATATCTTAAAGTCCTTATTATCTGATTTATCATAATCCGAGATATTAGAGTTAGGGGCGGTATCGGTTAGACTAAGGAACGGGATAGGAGTAATAAAAGGGTCAGGTCTACGCTATAGATATTTAGTATATATAAAACAGATATAAAAGTTTAATATACTAGACAACGGCCACGAGAGCCTAGGGTTATAGGAGTCTAGGGGCGATAGAAATAGCGTCTAAACTACGTAGTAAAACCACGATCCTGATTCCTATTTACTAAAGGGTAAATATATACCTAGTATATCTTTAATTTATAAAAAGGAAAAGAAAACACTCACGCGATATACTTATAGGCATTGGTAAATTAGCTAAGTATAGAGATAGTAGGGCCTCAGCCGGGCTCGTTTAGATACTCGGTATAACGCCAGCCCTTACTTAGCACCTATTTCTTGATTACATTAATACCGGCAATCCGCTCCAGCTGAGCCTTAGGACGTCGGTCTTCTAGAATAGCTGCTTATAGTTAGTATATATTAAGTATCAGGAAAAGGGAGACTTGTTTATACTAGGATAGGCCTCCCGTAGATAGCGACAGTAGGCAGACTGCGTTTTATAGGATATACCGTATATTATATTGCTATTTATAGTAATGTTATACCTATTAACGCGAAATATATAGTTAGTATATATTTCCTATATATTTTAGATACTATTAATATATATATAAGAGTATTCTCCTTCGATAGATATACCAAGTTATTCGAGGGCGGGTTATTAGCAAACCTAAGTTCGATATTAGATCTCTTAGGCTTAACAGTGGGACCAAGATGGTTCGGACGCTAGTTTAGATTGTTATTTAGAATAGGTCCTGGTTATATTTAGTATATATTTCTAACGCGTGTCTACTAGACTTACTATAAACGAAGCCAAAGTACTAGTCAGGGTTATACGCGTTTAAAACCTAAGGGTTATCGAACGTAGCCCTAGTGTACTATAAACCTAATCCTAATATATTAATGTGTTCATGATATACTAAACTTATATATAGTAGATAAAGAGTTGATACAAAGTAAAAGATAAAGAGATAGAAGGGGGAAAGAGAAAGGAAGTTTTGTTATGGTAAACAAAATAGAGAGATAGTAATATATTTCTATTACTTCTTTGTTACTTATATATTAAAGCTACTATAATAACCACGTGTTTACCCTACTAACGCGTCTTGTAAATAAAGAAAATATAAAATACGACCGTGCAAGATATCTAAAAAATAAAAAATAGGTATATACCTATATAATATTTAAGAAAAGGTAGTGTAAATTAAATATATACTATGATTAATTAAAAAAATCGCACTAAGTAGTTTAACCCTCCTTTATTAGGATTAGTTTATTAGATAATAATATCTATAGGCACGTGCGATAAAGGCGATAAGTAAAACGAAGGTAGAAAAAAGGAGATCGAAGGTAGGAAAACCCACCCACCTTCGCGGAGCTACTATTAATCCGTGGTGGGCCACCTTCGATTTGCTTTTAGCCACCTTCGCTCAGCTGGAACCCGCCAAGAGGCGACCTTCCTCCACGGACTATAGTAGGCCCTTTCTCGTAGAGAGTGTATTTTGCCCACCTACAATCTTAGCGCCAAAGTTTGGATAGTCACGGTCGTACGTTTCTATCTCACTACAGTCGAAGGCAGACGCGGTATTTATGCTTAGGGAAACCGAACCACAGTACGATAAAGCCCCCTCAAATAGCAAGACAGAAACTGCAGTCGATCCTTAACTAACATAGCCATAAATTGAGAACGAACGGTAGAAAAAGGTGGATACTTACGGCGACGGGTTCTAGGAACCTTTCTAGTATATTTCCTCCCAGGACTTAGACGTTTCACGACCTAGATATTCTACCTATTGGAACCGGTCGCCCTACTCTGTATACCTTGGCTTAGGGGAGATAGCGAATCAACCTCTGAGGGGCGAGATCCCGATAAGCGACCTCTTTATATAAAAGTAAGTATTATAATCTATTAACCAAAGGGCCCCTAAAGTGTTCGAATTGCGGCGAAATTAGGTATACATATCGAAGTTGCCCTATTACTAAATAGGGTAATCTCTGTTTTTAGTGGTTAGGATAAGAGGATCATGTGATTAGAGATGTTGAAAATTATCATGTGATTAGAAAATAGATCAAAAAAAAAGATTACATAAGCGTTTTGGGGTGCTAATAGCGAAAATTTTGGGGTGCTCCTATCAATACCCGCCTTATACCCTGCCAAGTATATTCTTTACAGATACCCAGGCCCACCTATCTAAACAGCTGATACCCGCCAAGACCGACCGGTATATCCCAGATGCTCGGACGAAATTTATATACGTCTTCCAACCGATACCGACGGAATTCCCTGCTAGTGTAACCGTTCATTATCATGATATACCACTTGAACTACTAATTGAATACTTGTTTTCAGTTCAATATGCGAGTTTATATGGATAGGTTCTAGATATACTGCTAGAGAAAAGAGAACCAGAATTCGCAAGGCTTGGTCCATTTTTAGTCGAACTTGAGTTGAACCGGAATTTTCACAGGCTTGCGGTTCGGGTGCCAGAAATCCATTTTTCCCAATAAGTCGAAAAAGCGAACATATTCCCCATATGTTGCATACTGCTCGGAATTCCACGAAGTATGAGGGTCTCCTGCGAAGGGTTTGCCTTCGTTCCAGGCTGCCAGCGCACAGCTATACAAGCCGTATGTTTCATCTACATGCTGGCATGAATCAAAACCATTAGGGTAGTTGAGCCCTCCCGAATAGACTTGATTACCTATCTTCTCATATCCAACCCAGAAGAGATGGCCCATCTCATGAGAAACCGAGGTAGCTAATTGAAGTATTCAGCAACCAAGCTCTAATCTCATAAAAGGAATGAGTACTTACCGTCAATGTTCTTGGCCTCCGGATTCCGAAACATATCGTGCCGGGCGCGGTAAAATTCCTCTTGGGTCACGCCTCGTTCACCAGGGCGACTGACTTGCGCCGCAATCTTTAATCGATCATATCGCAACTCCGACCAAAAGCTCTCGCAGAAATTCATGTATGCGTCCCTCCACCTCCATTCAGAGTGCGTATCCCGAAGGGAACCGGTGAAAACAGCGTTCCTTTCGACCTCTTCGCCATTTTCAACCTTTTTACAGTGGTCGACACCATCTTGTATCCATTCATTTTTGCAATATAAAGTGAGAATGCCTCTGTTCCCTGAAGGGCGACCTGGATCTCCTGGGTTTGCATTGACGCGTGTGACTAGAGCGTTCAAGACCCTGTCAACCCGGTCCAATGTTTCTTCGGACCAATCGAGCGCGAATAATTGGGTGTAACTAGTCAAGATATCGGTTAGTATAGTATCAAGATGAGTAGAAGAGTTTTCCGTAGATTACATACGCTGGGTCCCTTTCGTCGACATATTTCTGGTCGTTTTTTGACAATGGTGCGTTGGGATGCGATTGAAGCCTCTTGATCCTACTCGCAGTTTGCCGGAAGCGCGACAGGGCTGAAGTGTTTAGCTCCATCGCGCCAGCCCAGGCTCGTCGTACAGCGTCCTTTTTCTCTCCCTCGGGTTTTTTGGGTTGTCCTCGTTACAGCTCCGATGCCATCTGATGCCCCCTTCGTTCATGGTATATCTCCGATCCCGTGGGATATTGCGCCCTTGAGCAAATTCCAGGAGCATGGCTTGCACAGCCAGCGTCAGAATCACGGAAAATGCGATATGCATGGTTAGAAATTGACCTTAGGAATACCATTAATAAGGTCAAAAGACCCAAACGCAGTAGACAAAACCCAGATTGTCAAGAGAATGACAGGAAATAGTAACATCCACGTAGGGGGGGGGAGAAAATTGTAAGGCCACATACGCCAACGCCGCACATAGACACAGCACATAGACACAGCTGGATACAGGCAGTGTCACGCGAGAAAAAGCCACTCTAAGGGCGGGAGGCAATGCGGCATGTCCAGTTCCTGGTCGGGTTACAGCCAGGGGCCCAAAAAATGCCAAGAGGGGTCCAACAGTCGGGATAATATTACGCCGAAATTTTTGTAACCCTAAATTAATATTCTCGTATTTAGCTAACAAGACAAGATTCAGTCTTAACAGCAAAAGATATACTATTTTCTTTTACTTCTCTCCCTTATTTCTTTACCTGATCGACAGGCCTTATACCCTACCAAGTATATTCTTTACAGATTTGGTTTAGAGGTTCATGACTTCGAGCTATACCGGGTTGCTCCTCCCGCCCGAGTGGATCATTCGTTATATTTAGGGCGTTTTGTGTAAAAGGGGGAAAAGGCTCGCTACAGTGGGTGATCAAAAGTTTGCATACCCTACCCCCTGACCCACATAATATTATATAATATTCTGCCAGTCAAAAAAACTCTTTATTCTGTATTCTAATCCCTATATACTAGTATCATACTAATATTTAGTATACCAACCCTCTGCTTCGATAACTGCTTTCACCCGATTTGGCATCGAATTCGATAGATTTTGCAGAACCCCCCAATCAATCTTATCCTATGCTTCTTGCGCTGCATCAATCAAACGTTCTAGTGTAGTACTATTATTAGGTATATCTAGTAGCTCGGGGTGTAACTCATAGATCTTTGCCTTTAATAAAGCCTACACGTTCTCAATTGGATTGAGATCTGGCGAATAAGGTGGCTATACCATAGTATTAACCCTATATCGCTCCAAAAGCTCACGTACGATATACGCGCGATGAACTGGCGTATTATTATACATAAAAATAGCACCTAGTCTAAGCAACGTAGGCAAAACAACTCTATATAAATTAGAGATAACCTCTGCATCCACGCCGCCGCGAGGTGCATTAGGGTTGCCTTGTAATGCCTATAGACTAGTGCGTCGGATTTCGCTAGAGAAAGTAGCCTAAAATATCTGTTTTACTTGCTTTCCACATAGTCTACTATGAATATCTCGCTCGATTCGTTGCTGCGAGGGTCGATTAAAGGTATAAGGCTTTCGATAGCCAGCACCTTGCTCGATAGTACATTCATCAGACCAATAGACGCGAGCCCAATCTTCAGGGGTAAAATATTGATATGTTCTTGCCTAATAAAGTCGTTTTGCTGCAGTTATATCATCCAAAGCAGATCGATCAAGCTACCGCTATTTTCGAAGCCCTATCTTATTCAGAAGCCGTCGAATTGATATCGTTTTGACTTTATAATCGATATCAGCGAGTAGGTCTTGGTGACGCACGTGAGGGTCGGTAGTAGCTCTCTTATATATTCGATCGCGATCGTCTTTATTAAGTTTGCGAGGTGCTCCGGAGCGAGGTTTTGAATGATTATTAACTCTTTCATTCTCTCTTTTGATAGTAGATTGAATCGTTGATAGAGGTATCGAAGGGTATGCTTTATGAATTCTCTTATATCCCCATTGAGCAGTCGAATGAAGCTCGCAAATACGAGTACGAGTATAGGGGTCGAGTTCTTTGCGAGGCATTGGTAAAGCGAGTATGCAGCGAATTGGCGAAGCGAGTATATAGCGAATTGGCGAAACGAGTATGCAGCGAATTGGCGAAGCAGTATATCTTATATTAATATTACATTTATTCTATATTAGTATGATATTTAGGGGTAAAACGCGTCGATATAGCGTGTATATACTAGCGTGTCGACTCGCGTAAGGTAAACAGCTATATTAATAGGTAAGCGGTCAAGAAAATGCGGTGTAGGGGTGTGGGGTAGGGGTATGCAAACTTTTGATCACCCACTGTAGGTGGCTAGGTGGTAATTATCTCCTAGTAATAGCTGGTAATAGCTAGAGGTTAATAGATAAAATAAATTACTAATACTATGTAATTATAAGCTAGTCCTATTTAGGAACTCGCTATATATTATCCAGAATAAGGATAACCAGTATTAAGATAACTATAGACGGGAAATGATGGCTATTATTATAGGAAAGAATTGTGTATTTTGTTATATGTAATTAATATTCCTTGTGTAGTTAAACTCAGAAGATTACTTCCTATATAGGAGAAATGGTGTTCATATATCGTTTATAAGGACTCGGGACCGCCCCTGCGCCGCCCCTTGTCCCTTCAGTTCACTTGGGCGGGATAAAAATAGGCAAAAGTAACTTTAAATGTTTATAAGTGCATAATGATCATTCTAATCAAGGGGTGCCTTCTTAGTTCAATCCTGGAGGAATTGCACGTAGACTTAAGATGATGCGAATATTTCGGCCTACCCTTATTATTCCTACAGTGACACCTCGCAAGTATGTATTCAACAGGCTCCATCTACCCTTGGTAATACAACTATATAATATTCTGCCGGTCAGAAAACGTCTCATTCATATATAACCATAGCTAATATTCAGCAGATTGGCTACCCCCCTATTTATACCCTTTTAAATACTTTAAGATAGTTCCTGTAAACTTACTGATATACTTTATCTACTTAAAGTAGGCGGTCGATATATCGGGGTGTAGGGGCAAGTGTGGACACTATCGAATACTTCAGAGGTCCCACTACAAGACCTAGGGCCATTAAGAGAGAATTAGATCAACCGGGCTGACACAGACAAAGAGTAAATTTTATTCAAGTGTACCCCCCCCGAGAAGAACTTGTGTTTTAGTTAAACCTTTTTATTTCTATAGATTCCCTTAGCTCTGGTTACAAATATGACTAGTGATTTCATACGTTGAGTGTACTGCTTCCTCACACTCTTCACTTTGTGCTTTTCTTCTCCTCTTAAGTCTTCAGGGCCAAGGGTAGGTGTTAAAGATACTAAATAGAGTACTCTTAACCATGTTAACTGAAGACTATAATATAGAGCACCTATTAACCGTTCACTCTATCGTCGCGTGGCATTCTCTGATGAATTCTATTGCTTTAAGGACGGTAGAAAAGCCAACCGTATTGAGACTACGCTGAATCTTCTCCTATAAGTCATCGCTTATTTCCTCGATCAGGACAGTTATATCATTTACACTATATTAGACAAATACTTCCTTTTATAGTATATCCCAGACGTTATAAACGTTTACAGAAGAGCGGCCAACTAACACAATTAGGGCACACTTCGTATATATAGCGACGACTAGAAGAACCTCTGCTCCGCAGGAGCTAACGGTCAACCAGCTCTAGCCTATACGATACTAGCTCTGCACATATTCGAGAGTATTCTGCATATTTGCGAAAGACCCAAAAATGTATATGGCTTTCAAAGCTTTCGAAGCCTTCGGTGCAGCGATTTAGACTTACATCTTTCCAGCAAGATAGCATCATTTGAAGTCTACATAATTATACATGAAATAATATAAGTGTCACAATCCACAAATTATTTCCCCTTATCTTTTAGAATATCTTATTAATATATAAGACAGGTATTTCTTGAAAATTAGCCACAGTATAATCGAGAAATACTGGACACCAAGCATGGAACAGAGATTCAATCAACCCAAGGGCGTGATCCTTGATATTACCTACGGCCCCGTGAACTATAGGCGTCTACGCGGAGACTATGCAAATACGTATAGGGCTATATATAATACTAACAGTTATGCTGTTGCCGCTACGGTATGTTATATCCTAGGTAGATGGTACTCTACTTTCTCTGTTTCTTTACTCGATTCAGTGTGATTATATTAATGATACTTATTATATCCTATGATTTAGGAATTATACTTTACAAAGTTTTGTCGGAGTACTGGCTTCTTACAACGCAACGGTCGTGACTTTTTTTGACCCCCCTACCAGTAATAACTGGTATCCTACAGGATCAGGAAGTTAGTGATAGTGTGTTAACGAAAAAAGGTAAAGTTATGACTGCATTAGTCCTAGTATAGATCAATTGGCTGGCCTACTAATTTAGTATGCCCACAGACCTCGCAGAGATTAAAACGATTGATTGGCTGGTCGCAATACTGGCTGCTCTGAATCGAGTCTGGCGGGTGGCGCCTCGGCAGGAGTCTCGCGAGATCGATTGCCGCTTGGTTAAGGTTTGGAGGAGCTGGGAGAGCTGTTGGAGCCGGGAGAGGTTCGGGTCGTGTATTAGATTTGGGAACC